ATATATATATATATATATATATATATATATATATATATATATATATATATATATATGTATATATATTTGGGGATGAAATTCTTTGAGTTGAGACGAAATTCTTGCCTCGATACACTCACTGATACTCACTACTAATCACTAATTGTTGACGATTTTTGCTTATACACACCAGTCATCTAGTTCAAAATAGTTGTAGTTACACAACGGCTTACTTCCACCACGTTCAAACCATTCTGCTTATATCTACAATAAAAGTTTGGTAACGTTTAACTCCGTGTTTTTCATAGGATAAAACGACGAGCCCCCGGCTCAGTTGACATAACTGAACTGTTATGGGAAAACTGTGCGTTTTACACTCTTCGGAACGTCTTCATGTGACACATTAGAATAACGGGACTTGAGGAAGGTCGGGGTAGAATTGGTGAAAATGTCTATCGAAATCTCAAACTGTTTATCCGCCGAATTTGAAATGAATAATTACGAAAACTCTTGACCTCGCTGTCCTCCCACACTGAATTTGGTTAGAAGACAGTAAAAGATGATGCCGTATCTCGGGTCACTTTTAGTCGGTTTTCGCGGAGATTCGGTATATTCCACTCGGGATATTTCAACTCGAATAAGCCATTGCGCAATTATAATCATTTTCTTTTTTAACTGTTTTCTTAGCATATACGACAAAATTGAAAACCAAGCGAAATAAAGCAAGTCAAGATCAAGTCAAGGAATGGCTTTATATACCTCGAAAGATGCATTTTCAGCTACCGCATAACCACAGCGTGTCAGCAAAAAGTGAAGAAAACATATTATAACACAGCAATTAAAAGATGTTAAAACGCATAGCAACATCAAGAGTTTTTTTTGCGCAGATTTCCAGCAAAGAGTTCATGGTTTGTTTGAAATCTGGCGAGATATGGAACAATAGAACGCCTGTAAACTTCAGTGCGTGCCTTCATAAGTATATGACTGGAACTGGCGGTAAAGGCCCTGTCTAAGGGTGGGATTAAAGGGATGGGAAATATCAGATAAAATCCTATTGGAGAATATTTTACAGGAATTGAAAGTGGTGTATCACCACATACTGTACCAGATGTTCCCGTGGTATGAGACCACTTGAGGGATCGGGAATGGAGTTTGACGTCCTTGGGAAAAAGACCGGGGAAGATAACAGGGGGCCCTACAAAGCTAGTGAGGTAAAACGCCTTAAGAAATGATTTGGAATGAAAATTGGTTTAAGACATAACACATAAAACGTAAACCACCGCTGTATCTTCAAAAAAAAAAAACGCATTAACGTACAACGTGCAAAATGAAAAACGGGATGCTCTGAATAAACGGGAATTCAAGTGAATTTGGTAAAAACATTACGTAACCATAGCTGTCTCATCTTTTTTCAAACTCATCACCAGTGCACACTACTTATCCCAACAACTTTTATAAGTTCTCGTCAATTTGCTCACTTTGTGGATCAATAACACCTCATCTGTTGAACAAACTTGAATAGCTACGGACTAGGTCTCAAGTGCTGCCTGTTGTTTGTGCACCTCAGGTTCAATGGCTAAGACAGCCCTCCCCCGCCACCCCCTTCCCTGAGAAAGGAAACAGAAACTAAATAGGATTTATCAAAAAAATCGATTTGAAAGGAAATAAATTCAACTTGTTGTGAATCAGTGAACTGGGAAAACGAGGGAACTACCCGCAATCAGGACAACGAACACTGTCTTCGAGGCTAACAAAACGAATGTCACATTCTTATTGAAGTCATGACTTGATGACGAACACGGTGAACCTGATTGCGTGAGGCCGTTGCTAATGATTGATTTTGATAGGGAAAAACAGTTTCACCCGATTCGTGTAAATAGGATTGTTGATGATGAACAAATTTAGGAGGGTAGGATGGTGTCCCAGGAGGAGTCCGTCTGGGTCATCTGGCGCGTGAAATCTTTGATGTTACCAGAAGCCAAAGTGACTGTTCGATTTTTACAATAAACTCTGACCCACGTCCGGTATATATCAATGATTCATTTAGTGAAACCGTCAAAACATGTTCGTTGCCCAACAGTCGGTCGTTTTCACTAAGCTATCCGTTAGTTACAAGTTCGTATCTGTTTTCATGGAATTTCAAATGCAGCTGTGAAAACGAGTTAAACTTACAACGTAGGTTTACATTGTATTGTAAAACTATAGTGACATTGACAACTGAATTTTTGAGTTAGGCAGTATCATGGAGCTTTCGATACACCACCTATATATGAACCGTTGCAGCACTTTCCGTTTTCTCCATGACTGTTCCTCAATTTTCATGACATATCACCTCACGGCTTTTGCATCTCGCGATTACAGACTGCTCCCGGTCAAAGAAAACTATCTTTGTCGTCCAATATTCAAGGTAAGTGAAATCACTTCGGAAAAATAGTGCACTGCTATCTTTCAGAACGCCTCAAAGATAACCAGCACAGATATCGATCGGGCATTTGCTTTATACGATCTGGTAAGTACTAGTACTTGATTTATGTGAAACATGTTTTGAAACATTGTTTTGTCCAAAACGTTGACTACAGTTTTTTTAAACGAAAACTGGAACCGACGAGGTTGGATTTTAACAAGTGATTGTTAAGTACGAAACCTTGTTCATAATTGATACTGACAGTGCATTAAACATTAGGTTGGCATAGTTGCCAAGGTATTGCGCATTATACCATAATGAGGCATTCAAGCAATTTAAAACAAACACGTAAGAAATAATTGTTGTGTTTGGACTAGACGTACGAACGACACGAGCGAGGATTGCTTAACCCCCAACAACAACGCGGGGAGAGAACACAGGTTCAGACAACAGTCAGTGTGTATCCTTTGATCAGATATGGATACGCGGATATATAAAACAAATCACACATACGTCAACGGCACAGTGATGCAGCAATCACTCAAATTGTATCCATCACATATCGATTGACTAAACACTGGCTGATTCGTTCTGTGATCATCCAATCGGGCTCAGCTTGTCTAGAGCGTTGCAAGCGTGCGTGTGGACTGACTCGGAGGCGTGAGCGATCGGACAGGTTGCTTAAGATCCGTCCTAACAAAAATAAGTGAAATTATCCTGGTGACAACTGACAAAGAGCACTGGACAGCTGTAACGTCCAGTTTAGGACTCGTCAGCAGTGCGTACTTTTTGTGTCCCGCTTTTGTGTATCATAAACATTTCCATCGCATTTGGATGCATTTAACTCGTGGGGAATTAACGATCTCCCAACAAGTGAAACCCACGCCCAAGGTCATCAAGAGTGCGTGGTGCTTCTGAACAATCGAATGGGCTAATCCAAGCTTGATACTCTAATATTATTCTTCGTTATCCACGAAGGCCTGGAGTGTTTCATTCTAAGTGATATCTGATACCGTTATATTACCGACTAGCCATAGAAACAAATATTTGTATTCCCCAATATCTTAGATCAGTGACTTGTTCACATACGAGTGGCGCCATCCAACACTCCACGAGAAAGTAATAAATGTTCATCTATTGCATAATGGTTAGCACAAACCCAATTCCAGAATGATGAGCATAGCACATGTTCCTTGATACTCCGCTGAAATGAGACGTCCTTCTGCCAAACTTGTAAACGAATCTATTCTCATATGATTGTGCTTATGGTCAAATCGATGAAATCGAGTTAACATTTTTCGTGCCCACTTTGTTTGCAGGATGGAAACAACACGATTGAGGATGAGGAGCTCGCAGGTTTCTTGAAGGATCTACTGGAGTTGGCTCAGGAGGTGAGTGAGATGTTTGCATTGTCCATCTGGATCACCTAGCGCTCACAGATATTCACCCGTTTTAAATTGGACCATTTGTTTGCTCAGTTACGCTGGTTTGGGTTCCTATTCACATACACGGAGTGGATTGCGGGTTTTTAGCCAATTCATGTTCCAACAGACTGAGCAAATAAGCAAAACGCCTATGTTGATAACCGGAACGCAGAAAGAATCAAACCTGTATTACGTATTACATGCTTTTAAACAGTAACGTCATGTCGCTTAATTTTGTGGTAAAAATATAGATGACTACCAGACAAAGTCGAATCTATACAGATTTTCGGAACTTCTGAACTCCAAATCACGTCCCCCGTTCAGTTGAACAGCTGACCTTGAAAGATAAAATGTGAATTCATTTGAAAATTTGGCGTTCTACAAAACGTGTACCGGCAGTTTACTGTACATGGACCAACGAATCGCTTGGCTGATCACAACCTTCCTAATACTATCTCACTTAATTTCCTGAATAGTTCAAATAATGCACACTTAATTTCAGATTTCACAGTTTAAGTGCATAAACAGATAAAGATATCCGATTGTTGACATCGTGGCCAACAAATTTAACAACAAATGAATGCAAAATGTGTCCCAAACTCAAACCAACTGACGTGAATGGATACACCAACCGACTGTTGTCACCGACAAAATAACAAAAAAATTGTTCACAGCAGTATACTGCAATCCCCGGGACCCGTTCAATTTCATTACCTTTAAATC